AGGAATTCATGTGTTCTCTACATGAAGCAAAGGGGACTTATAGTGATGAACAGATGATACAGGATTTTTCTAGCTCATACAGATTATTTTTCTGTTCTTGGTTTGTGAGCAAAAAAAAAATGAAAAGCTCCACTGCTACATGTGAGAGTTTATTAGGAGACAGTGTGTGAGCATGTGAGCATGGCGGGTGGTGACAAGGACACCTCCATTTTGCATTCAAGCTACGTAGAAGCAGAGAGAAAAAACAGTCATGAAAGGGCTGGAGAGGGAAGACTTCTGCTGACTGATGCGTGGCACACGGATCAGTCCGCTGTCTCTGTACGTATAATGAGAGTATTCATAGGACAGTAAGACTTCAGTTTCTTAGCTCGGACCCTTGGTGACTGAAGCTTCTGCCTTTCATGCCAGTATATGACACTAAGCGTCACACAGATGAAGCCTGAAGCACTAGCTGGCAATGCAGACAAGGTTTTGGAAAGTACTGCTCTGTTTTCTGGCGCCAGTTATTCAGGATGACCTTCCCCGGTCCTCCGCTTCTCCAGTCGCACCCCGCCACTCACATCCTCTCCTTTCCCCTCTCCGTCTTCCTTATCTCTTGGCGACTGCCAGCTCCCTCTCAAAGGTAGATGATATGTTCTCATCGTTTGCCATGGGGAAGTGCTAGAAAAGAGTACCTGTGCTCTGGAAGCCTTGCTAGTTGCAAGGGGTTTATTTCTCTTTAGGAAGAGCTACAAATACTTCCAGCCCCAGCCGCCTGCCTGGCAGCTGTAAGCAGGGCCCAACATCCCCTGCGGGCATAAAGGAGAATTGGGCATATGGCTGGCACTTACTCCATCTCCTCTATTTCCCCGTTATAAAAAACGAGTGGATAACTCTGGGGAAGTTTTATGAGACTGTGCTACTTGAATCTTTGTCCATGCAGCTTCCCCCACAGCACCACTTAGTTGGGCTGCTGCATTATCAGGGAGCACGTGCAGCAGCTGGGATTGCTATATCACGCTACCTATGTGCAGGTGTTAAATAAGACCTGGGAAATTATTTTATTCCACGCTTGAAGCCTGCACAAAAGGAGTCACCTCAAGGCTTTGCTACACATATTTCTGCTACTGTGTAGTAGCTCATTGCAGTGTTTGCCACTATAAAACATTTTGTTCCCGTTGTGTTAAAATATCTGTTTTGCCCAACTTAGCATATCACCTTACATAATCTTTCATGATGTTTTCTTAGCAAAAAACCAGTAGTGAGATAGAGAGCCTTTCATGGGCAGATCATTGCCCAAGTCAGTAAATATGGACTGGATACAGCAACTTTGTGCCTACTTGGTAACCTGGAGCACGTTCATGGCCGCGGACTGGCGTCCCAGTTTCCGGTTGCCAATACAAGCAGAGCGCGTTGTGCAGAGCCAGAGTAACTCTTTCCTCATCTGAGGAGATGTCTCTGCATCGAGGCAAACCGACAGGGTTATCTGAGGTAGCACACCAGTTTGCACTGTCAATGATGGTTCCCTAGCTGCGCTTTTTATAGAGGACTCAGGTTTCCAGTTATTTTGGCTCAGCAGCGCTCCTGTCATCGGCAGCTTAAAAATGTAGATCTGTCTGTCTGTCTTACCTTTCAAATAGGGCTGCTAAAATGGGAGCAGCAGAGGAAAAAAATCATTGTCTTACCGTGCATTTGACAGCACTTTGTGGCATATCAGCTTTCCTGACATTTGTAGGTGCACATAGAAGCAATGGCAGAAATATATACATATAGGAGGAGGCAAGGTTGATTACAAAATCAAACCCCATCATAGGGAGTTGTACCTCCAACTGCTTCTGTAAGAAGTAAACCCAAACTGACCACCTAGACTAGTTCTTTGTCTTTTTCTGAAAACTTTACACTTTAAATGTAAGAAGCTAATTGCAACAAGTTAGCTATAGTAAATACAGTTTTAGTATAGTCACCATAGTTTTGGTGAACTTTAAATGTATGTTTTCAGAAATAGTTTGCAGCCTAGATGATGCAGAGGCAATGTAAGGCACAGGCTCACTTTGCCACGAGTTGAGTGAGGTTGCTCTGTGACAAGCAGGCAATTGGGTTCACACTGTTCTGTTCAAAGACAAATATATGGTATTAGCTCCACAGTGAATGCTTTTATATGCAGACGGCCCTCCAGGTCTCGCTGTTCTTCACCTGTCTGAACTAACCAATGCTTTTCAATCAGCAGCTCTGAGAGCAGATGATGAGTGATTGTGCCTTTCTGTCAGCTATCAGGCAGCAATGGGTTGCTTTGGTCATTTGTTTTTTGGCTCTGGTCATTTTATGGCAGAGTAGAATGAAAGAACTGCTTTTTTCAGTCTGTGTTCTGAAATTGAGTAATTAAGCAAGGTTTTTGTGGTTTACTCTGACTTTATTACTTCCAGGTCGCTGTGCTTCTCTGCTGTCCTCCCCCACAGCTCCAGGAGGGAAGAAAGGAGCTATGTTGCAGCTGAGGATATAGAAAGAGTTGAACAGCCTTTAGCACTTAATTGAAGCCTTCTGAAGCAAAGATAAGCAAGCATTTCCTCAGAACAAAGTTAAGTCATGACCACATTTATAAGACAAAAAGTCCAGAGAGAAAAAAATATAAATCTCCATTTCACTTGCATAGTAATGCATCCCTTGAAAAATTGTTGCTGTTTGCAGGGGGGGAGAGGAATGCTAGCTCAACGCAGTTATAGTATGCAATTTTACAGGGAAGTTTCTAATTTTATTTTGGGCTTGAGACTAAAATCAATTGCTAGGCCAAAGGCAAAATACTGGGATTACCAGAAAACAGAAAACATCAACCTTCTTTTGGCTGGCACATATTTGGTTCCTGCAGCATCACTCAGCACCTGTGAAAGAAGCAGAGCTTGAATGAAGGATATCTGTGACAGTAGACAGACGTGGCCCATTAGGTCAAGGGACAGCACTGTCAAACAAGGTTTACAACAGCCTTTTTTTTTATCTTGAATTGAGCTCTTCTGTTCAATATTCACTTTATGCTACTAAGATTAATCTTTGTAAGTGTGTATTATCTACGACGTCGGGCAGCAGGTTTCTATGAATGTGACTGTGATGCAAATAGTAATTATTCAGGTACATAGCAAGGCTGGTGAAGTCCAAACTGAGGTGAGCCTGTGGAAATTTAAAATCAGTGATTTATCCACTGTAATACAGTGAGCAGAAGTCTTGTTTAGTCTTAACAGAAGGTTATTTTCTTTACTTGCTTCTCAGAACCCTTTGGTGATCTTTGAAAATTCCTTATGGTTACGAATATATACCGAGGAAACTTGTCCTGGGAAACTCCATTGTTGTTTTAGGGATTTCTTCAGCACTGGCAGTGTCCATATAAGGAATAAAGATGTTTTTGATATCTTTAGAATTTTTATTACTCCATTCCTCATGGTTCAACCTGACCGAACATGCTCCAGCCTTTGGGATCCCCTCACCAAGAGGACATCAGTAACTTGTGACCACTTGTTAAGAGACAAATCACAGAAAGTCTGGAAAAAAGTATTCCAGTGCCCACAAAACTCCTCTTTATCATTATGATACTGCTATGCTTTGGGAGAC